CAATGCGTACCGACACCTTCACATTGAGTAAATAACCTAAGCTTCATAATTATGATTTGAAAGTACTATTTGTACAAGTGTTTGTTTATTTAATTTTTTTTAAATAATCGAAAAACTGTAGTACACTTAACGACAATCTTCAAAATGTTACTACTTGCTGTTCAACGTTTTTTTGGTTCTAACCAAATTATTAACGAGCATCCTGAGACTCCGAGGAGAATGTACCTATCCATTTTGACGTTTTTGAAAGAATCAAAGTTTTGTAAATTGTAGTGCTAGACTTAAGGGAAAAATAAAAACATATCTACCATTTGCGAAAATATAGCAGTTCTAAAATACAGAAAAAATATGAAAGTCAAAACTATGCCAACACCAGTACAGCTTTCAAAAAGTTGAAAAAATGTTACCCCAAATAATAGAACATCATAGGAGTCTAAGTGATAAATAAATACTGGTGAACATAGAAATAGGTATTTGCAAAATATTATCTTTAATAGTGTTATAAAATATTAATAATAGTTTCAATAGAGCATATTTTTTTAAATTAGTGCTCCTTTTATGCTTGTGTTATTTTTGGAATTGTGTTAGTTATTCCATGAAGAGTTAATTTAGGATCAATGTCTGAACAAACTGCATGTGTAGAAAGTTATTAATTATAATAGTAGTGACTAATGATGAATGATTCCTAGCGAGGTCAATATAATGAAGAAAATTATAGAAGTATATAAATAGATATGCATATTTGTTGCTAATCTAGATAAGTAGTTGAAATAGAAAATATGAAAGAACCTTATCAAAGACTATATAATTAGTTTACACATTTTGCTATTTTTTTTTAAATTCGGTTTAACTTTTAAACATATTCTATAAGTACTGCCAAAAAATGTATGCTGATAAGATGCTCTGCTATAAAAGCGTATATCCACAAACAATATGTAAGCAGCAGTTCTAATCAAAACAATAATTAATGTAGATAAGAGATAAAAAACATCTTTTGGTTTTCATCAGCAGTTGCATATTAAGCCATTTTGTGATTGAATTTTAAATTGATGTTCTGACGTATAGTTTTACACGTAATATGGAGAGCCAAATTGGAAATATTTAATGCAATAAAAAATAATTCAATACTTGTATTTTTTTGCACACAGACCGCGAATTATTTTATTTTATTTGAAAAACTAAAACTTTTTTTGATTCGTTATTAGACTATTACGTTCTTATTTAGGTCAGCAAGAGTTCACCATTAGATATCGTAATTATACTTCTAAATCATTTGCCCCATCATCAGGTGTACCTCAGGATTCAAATTTATGCCCACTATTGTTTCTTCTTTTCATTAACGATTTAGCAGATGTGGTATATAAGGAACTAATGTTCGCATATTTCTATATTTTTTTCGTACTTGGTGTATCCTGAATCGTTTAATACTCAATGTTTCAAAACGTAAGGTGGTATCTTATTCGTGAAAGAATTCTGTTATCAAAGGATCAGTTATCGAAATCAAGTATGTCGGAATAGTTATTGACAGCAAATTTGCACTTGGAATCATACCACATATTTTACGTAAAATTTGGTAAAATCTTGGATTACATAATAAATTAAATAATTTGATTAGTCTCAAAAATAGATACTTCATTACTTACGTTACGTAAAAACATTTTAGAAAACAAATCCTTGTAATCCTTGTAAGCATGTAAACATGGTTAATCAAAATAAATCTGTTTATGCCTACCCAAAATTGCAAAGTATTATGAGTTTTTGCGTGTGATTCATCATTAATATTTTTTATTGATGAAATTAAGAACAAGTCACCACATTTTCTTAAAAATGTGAAAATACAAAGGTCTTTATTTAATAAGTATTATAATGTGATGATATTTAGAACATTTTGTTGATTGCAGCTTACTGCTTAATAGTTTTGATCCTCTGTTATGAGGGGACGAACTCATTCAAATCAAACTAATTTCTACGTGACATTCTCCCGATGTATAACCATAAACACTTTCAAGTTGTTTTTCTTATCGAAGATAACCTAAGGACGTACAGTACTGGAGTCCATCGGGCAGTTTGGTACTTTCATATTTTCTCGATATTTATCTCATAACCCCTAGACAAGTCTGTATATAAGGGGAGGCTAGGAGATGCTTATTCAATAAGCGGAAGTCAGAGCAATAAAAAAGTCTGGTCCGTCGGCACTGTGAACCGGTTATTGCAATTCGTAGAAAACATTTAGTTTAGTTTCTGTTTCACTCTAACGTTTACAGGTTGATAAGTGTTATCGCTATTTGTCTTAAATTACGAGTACCGAATCTACAGTTGCACCGGCAGACGTGATTAAATTGTGTCCTTATTTAATTCGTTATAAATCACTAGCAAAGAATAACAATAAAACAATACTTTTATAGTTAGTATTATAATGCTTCTATCCAAACTGATATATGCGTCTTTGCCAAAATGTGGATGACATCAACACAAAGTTTTGTAGTAGACATAGATATTGTTATTTTAGCCTATAATGGTTGCCATAAAAAACAAAAGAATTCGCAAAAAATACACAGAATATTCCTCGGATTTATAAACTACAAGTACAGGAGTATGTTACTTTGATCAGACAAATTTTGGTTAGCGCTTTACCACTTACACGATTTTTAACAAACACAAAATCTGACGACTGAGAGACGTATTCCAGGGGTCATGAAACGTGGAAAAACAATTTCCTATCCATTTCACTGGAACGCGTTTTGTTTTTATACACTGTATTTCATGCGGATGTTGGTGGAAACATGATATACATTAGTGTAGGTGTCAAGTCAACAACCTACATGGGTTTGTAAGTACTCATCTTCCATTTGTACTCCAACAACTATTTTATATTTTTATCACACTTCCTGCATGTGTTAGTAGTCACTGATTCCTTGATTAGACAATTAGACAGGTATCCAAACTTTCTAGTTTTTTTCACCAAAGAGGTAATATGGAAGCACTCCAAAAATATTCCGTGCTAAAAGCATCACTTAGACTTTAAACAAGTAATTCTTGATTTTATATACTTTGGTTACCTAACCTTTTATTGCATAAATAAAACTGCAGTAATTAATCTGCAATTACTGGGTTAAGTACTTATATGCAATACGTGGAACAATTTCCAGTAAGTAGGTAGACACCATTTACATTTTATGATATATTTGTTATGTTTTAGATATTTATTGTACATTTAACCACTAAAAGACACTCTTTACACTTTGTGCTTGACATCCTACGTACTAAAAATAAATACCTATTTCACTTTTCAATTTTATTATAACGTTAATTCTTCAAACCTCTTAACTGCTACATGAATCGAACTTAAATTTAAATGCGCTTATTACTATTATTAGCGAAGCATTGCATTCTTTATCTGCATGGTTTACGATTAAATACAAAATACATTTATCAGATTAATTTGTTGTACTTGTAGATAACACTGGTAAATGCATACATCAAGCGATTTTAGCAATTTCTTGATATCTTTTTAGATTATTTCCGTTGAAATTTTACAAATTGTGAACCAGATTTATCAAAACTTTTACAGTTAAGACAAAAGTACAGAAAAAATTCATTTTCGAATTTTACTTTCCGATTGTAAGCTAAGGAAGTATGTAATCGTGTCCATCGGACGAATAACCACTTTTATATTTTCTTCACGTTTCATAACCCCTAGAATACGAAAAAAGTAGTCTGCCGTTTTCGTCTGTCTGGTGTCTGTATCCATTTTTATAGCCACGTAATATCCGAAACTGTTGGACCGATTGGTGACAAAATTTGATGTAGATGGTTAAACGCCAACCAAAATTTTGCTAATCATACCCAGCAACAATCTGATGACCTCATTTCAAAGAATTATATGTTTATCGGATTTAAGTCTTATGGTGTACGAATTCGCTTTGAGTTTTCCTAACCGTCCAAATTTTTGCAAAAACATTATGCGGTATAAAAACAGTTTACCATTCCTAACTGTCTTTCTTCAAGAAGGTGAACCCTCCTTTTTTTCTATTAAACTGTGACTAGTGCTATTGTTTTTACTCCATGGAGGTCATCACGAAAAAGTAAAATTCCACAAAATAAAATTTTATAATTTTAAGTTCCGTCGAAATAACTTTTTTGAACGGAAATAATATTTTAAATGTGCATATCTAACTGGTTACAAAAATTTACATAAGAATTTTTATTATCCGTCATTAGAGTAAATTAGTTTATCGAAATAAACATGACTTTATTTATACAAACTACAATATTTAACACCTACTTACTGCACACGATAGAAAAAATCAGCACGTTTGTTATTATCACATGATTCATTATTGTCCAACAACTTGATCAGCTGTTTACCTTTAAATAATGTTCTTCAATTTATCTTACTTGACAAAAGTTCATAAGGCAAGTGCATGAAACTTGTTTCGACGATGTAATTTATTATTGAAGTTAAACCTTGATTCGACTGAAGAGTACGATAATAATAAATGGTTAAACTGGTAGTCATTGGATTAGTTTTGTTTGCGCTTTCATAGTAAACTTTTAATTTTGTTCTTGATCCACTTTGTTGTGTATGATGCGAAGCACACTCTTAACAAGTATGGTCATAAAATCATGTAATAAGTGCATTCATTACTGCGTTTCACTTGTTAAATTGAAAAATCGAACTTTCATCTTAAAATTAAATTTCTTTCATGGACGGAAGAAGTGGAATAATTTTAGTTAAAGTGTTACTGACCAAGAAGAATTTAGTGATACTTTTTGTGTGTGTGGAAAATCTAGTACACCTTATATTGCTTGCACACCTTAAGCGACTTTTAATTGTGCAATTACGGTCAGTTTTGCATCGATTTACCAACAAGATCGAGAATGCATTCATTGTGGGAAAATTCCGCACATTGTGCGTTTATTAAAGCCATTCAATAAGTAAAAGTAAGCAGTACTTAATAATTAAGTTGTATTACTACTTAAGCCTGTTCTACACTCACCATATTGCTAAAAATATCACTCAGCCTCTCCTGTGGCATTTTTCCCTTCTTCGCTCTAACCAACAAATAGATTTTCTTCACGTCGCAGCATCTCAGCAGTTTCTCGATCAAGAGTTTTCCCAAGAATCCTGTACCACCAGTGATAAAAACGGTCCGATTGCGGAAAACTTCAGCAATGCGGTCTTTTTCAGTCATCTTGTCTTAAAGTAATAAAAAAAAAAAATAAACTTCACAATTTAGAAAAAATGCACTGTTAGTAGTTTTTTCTTATGATAATAAAGATGAAAATCGATGCAAAATTAAAAAATATTAATATTAGTGATGGTAACAATGCAGAACTTTTAATTACAAAAATGACTTACTTTATTGATTTATTATTAAAAATTATTGTTGGTCCTTTTGCTTCGACAGTGCAACTGCAAGACACTTTCACAATGCACTAAACATTTGAGCGGTGCGCGTCCGGTTTATATGACGCTGCGAAGTCGAGACCAGCGCCGGTAATCCAGTTGCCGCAACGTGACATTGACATTCGTTTTTTCTCTCTTCATTTTCTTCATTAACTGAAAAAATTAACGTACTAGAGAATTGTTGCAGTAGTGAACACAATAAATCATTAATAACAAGTCAACAATAATTACTTCGAACGTAGAATGAATTTACGTCAGCGTTTCTTATACTTAAGTCAAAATTTTATCAATCAAGCCAAATACTCATAAAAATTAATTTTTAAAATTGCGGAGCAATTACTTCTAATTACTATAAGCCTAATGCAGATTTAATGATGCACATCGTCGTTGCAGTGAAAACGCATTAATAAGTGCATTTAATGATGCGTATGACGACTAAAGTCTAGCCAAAATCGTCGTTTCTTAAAAAATGCTGCGCAATTATGCATCTGATTATAAAAAAACAAGCCAAACTGCTTTGTTTCTTAAAAAAAAATTGGTAGGTTGAAGCAGCAACCGTTTTTGTGAATCTGCACAAATCTTTTGTTCAAGGTTCCCGGACTGAACTTATCGGTAAACATTTTGGAAAAAAAATGCATAGCAAAAATAAATTTTGTGCATTCATTTTTAGTCAAAGTTGTCTAGAATTTCGCAACAGAAACTCTCAAAAAGTTTATAATTTTTTATTCCGTCTCATAAAAAGCGTTAATTTCAAATTAGTTAAAAATTCATTTAGTTGGACACTTTATGTAACTGCTTTGAGTCACTGGCCTTAAGTTTTAATGCAAAATTTAATAGATTGCAAAGACCTCCGATGCATAATCTGCCTTGAAATAAACAAATGAATCTGATTTAAGTAATTAGCGGACCAAGTCGCCCCTAAGCTCGCGTCCTCGTTGCATCGAGTGAGGGTCAAGTAAGGTGGGCTTTGGAAATTTGGCAGTTCACTTTGAAAACGGATTTAAAAATGTGGTTATGAATTCAATGATTCAGAATATCTTCGCTATTATTGAACTTTATCCTTTGCTAATTTATATAATGTTTTACTACTCGGTTTAAGATCGTAGGTACGATTTATTACTAATATATGTACGTCGCGACAACATATCGAAAGCTTTTTCAACATGAATAAATAAAATAAATAATTAGAATTTTTAAAGTTGGTGATTTGAAAATTTGCTTCTTTCAATTTTACTTACTAAATTACTATAAATTTGGAACCTTAAACATATCCATTATTTGATTGCGTGATGTTTGTATTAACTTCCAATTATGTTCTTTTTTGGTATGTTCGTTTGAAGTTTTGCTGCAAGAGTCATAAATGGGCTAAAATAGGTTTTAAAAAACTTCAAATTAGGTTCTAAAAATGTTGAAATAGGTTCAAAGAGGTCGATACCAGTCTGAAATCTTCAAAATTTCGAAGCAACTAAAACAATGTTTTTTTTTAGTTTTTATATTGTTTAACAGCTATGCACAATATTAATTAACACAATACATATATTTAATTATTTAAAGATTTGCATATAATACTATAATAAAATAAATTATTTATTTATTTATAGTGTGTTGTTTAAACAACAACAATTGATGAAAATCGTAATTACATGCTTACCACTTTGCCGTATAAGATCTTATTTAAGAATATTTCGCAAGTGAACATCGAACTTACACCACGACACAATTTTAACTGAACGTTAGAAATTTGGCAAGTGGTATTAGCGGAAATGCATTTACAAAAAGAACTAATACAAATGTGTTACAAACTTGTTTGTAAGATAAAATATTGCATTCGAAAGGAAAGACGCAAGACGTCTTTCAAAAAGTTGTCGCACTTTTTTAGGTCGCATACTCTCATTTTAAGCAATTAGGCAATTATAAAGTAGGCTCAAATAATGTTATTTTTGTACAGTCGTGGAAATACCCCTAGTCAAAAATATTTAGAATGTGATATTTTTTAGTAATTTTTCGCAGGTGATTTCTTATGTTACGAATATGTTGCTATGGATAAATCTAAATTTCAAATTCGCAATTATTGGAAGGTACAGGTACTAAAAAGGAAAGGCAATAAGAGATTTTTTGCACTCACAGGAGTAGAAGTCGGTTTTTGTGACCGCAAAATCGGGAGAGATATAGAATACTTGCTCCCTAGAGAGAGAAATACATAGACAAATTTTCATAGAAAAATTTTGCCATGTCTATCACAATTAAACAAAATAGAGCGAACTATTTATTTATTAAAATTAAAAGTAAAAGATACTTGACAACTGTTACAATTAATATTTGGAATCATATTAGAAACATTCTCGTTCTTGAATATCTTGCACTTACTCCAACAATAAAAGCAACCTGCAGAAGAAATGATTAACATTGGAAATAAATAATCAGTCAATCCATGTTTTTACCTTGTCTTCAAAAAAAGTCAGTAAAAAATCTCAATGTCACTTTTTCTCAAAACCTTTCACTTTTTAGCCGAAATCCGTAAGAATTTCGTTTCAAAAACGAAACTAGTTTAAAATATTTCCTTATGTCCACGTTACCGTGCACTTGAGTACAAGCTTTTGCCACGTAGCGCGCAGCCCACACAGCAAACGCACAGTTTCGCTAACATTGCGTTCTCTGCGTAAGCTTTGACTTTCTTTTCATCGCACCATTTTGTAAATCTCTGCTACGCTTGATCGTATAGCGATTTAGAAGGCAACAAATTCTATACAGCAGCTTCAGCAGCATCACGAATTTCTTGCGGATTTTCGTGTTGCATTTTGATCGAAAAAATCACATTTAGTGTTTACGTTTTTTTTTTTATTTCTATAGACTATTATAATTATTATTTTATTTCTCTCCCTCCATGTATAATCTACTATTTTTGTAAACTGTATTTTTAAGTTGGGAGACTCATTAATTGGTAGCGTACGTTTTCTGTTTCCAATTTTCCAATTGTTATATTTCATACAACAACTTTATTTTGAATGAATACAGTAGGTGTACTGAAGGTGATCAAAAAGTATTATATTCTGCTATTATGTTAAACCCATCAACTAAAAAGATGGTAAATTTTCACTTTCCTTTTTTATAAACTGAATTACTTAATTATTTTTTTTTTTTATGTAAATGTTTATTGTCACATCAACCACGAAGGGTTATTAGCTTAGATCATATAATAAATAGATACCAATACTCAAACTGAAAGCTGTGACTAGACATGAAGCTATCTGTTGTCGTTTTCTACGTCAAGAGGAGTAGTATAATGCTATCCTTGTGTGATCACCACATCTTCATCTTTGTTATATGCATTTCATCTGTATATGTCTATTTCACTTCCATCCTTGTACCGCACCAGCGCAACAAATCGCTTTTGACAGATGTTTCTTCTAACCTCTCTTTCGAGTTGTTGTACAAAAAACAATTTTAGAATTTAGAACAAAGATCCTATTTTAAGTGATGTAATTATAAAGGATCACAATTGCTGCCCAATAATTTACTATTCCTTTCATTATCTACTGTGAATTATTTATAAAATCAAGTTGTCAACATCTTGCGTACGAAGTTAGTTCAGACATACTTCCTAAAATTTTGGCGCGCAAAATTCAAATAGTGATCAGGCAAGGATAGCTTCATTGTAATCCCTCCATGTACGAGAGAGATGCGTGACAGGAGGATGTCGTCACAGGCTCTGCTAGGGAAGGAACACGGCATGGTGGTATTTATTTATTATATGATCTAAGGTTATTAGTGACAAGGCGGTACAATACAAGATGTATAATACAATGTGCAATCCTTAGATTAACTGCAGAAGGCCGGCTGTTGTGAGGAACTGCAAAAGCTTTTCTACAGCTGGGAGATCACCCAGAACTTCGGTAAGTGATGGTGGCAGTGACCAGCGGATGCGGTTCTGTTGAAATGTTGTACAGTGGAGTAGAATATGTTCCACTGTTAGTACTGACTTGCACTTCGTACACTGAGGTGGGACCTTATCGAGTGAGAACAGATAAGCATGAGTCAATCTGGAATGCCCAAGCCGGAGTCGGGAGATTAAGACTTGGCCCTGGCGAGTACTAGGTAGAGGCAACCGTGTTGTGACGTTGGGCTGGATTTTGCGTAGATGGGAGGGATGCGTGTCCCATTTGCGTTGCCAGGATGCTACAATGCGAGTTCGAAAGAGACTCTTAATATCCGTAGATGGGACAGCTATAAGAGGTTTCGGATTGACTGAAAGTATCGCTTCCTTAGCTAGGGTGTCTGCCATTTCATTGCCTGTTATGCCCATATGAGATGGTATATAGCAGAAGAGAATTTCTTTGCCCTGAAGTCGAAGTTGTTGAAACTGTTCTTGGATACGAACTACGAGTAGATTGACTGGAAACAACGCCTTGAAGGCTTGCAGTGTGCTCATGGAGTCCGTGAAGAGCACTAAGTGGAATCCTGGGAGGTTAACGATGTGGTTAAGGGCTTCCAGGATAGCGTATAATTCCCCAGTCAACACGCTGCTGTAAGTTGGAAGTGAAAATTGGAGGACGTCGGTGGAGGTGGAGGTGGAGGATTCGAAGTAAAGGTTTGAGAAAGTGTCTGAGGAAGGCTGGGTAGGTCGAGCTGTTGAAGATCACTACGTAGTCTTTTGTTGAAAGGATTTTGAAGGGCTGAGTCAATTGGTGATTCCAAGATTGGTCGTCTAAGAGGATTGTTCGGGTTTCTAGCGATGTGGACCACATAACTGAGGCGAAGATAATGGAAACGATCAATGAGAGGGAATTCATTTGCTAAGCAATGTAAGCTAGAAACCGGTGACGTTCGAAATGCGCCGAACGCAAGTCTAAGAGCAGTGTTCTGAATCGTACAAATAGGGCCAAGGGACGATTTTTTGCAGGTGGAGTACACAACTGCACCATAGTCGATCCTTGATCTTATTATCATTTTGTAAACTTGGAGAAGTGTCACGGTATCAGCTCCCCAGCTGTGATGCGCTAAGACCTTTAAGAGGTCAAGCAGTTTGGAACAGGTTCGTTTGAGAAAATTAAGGTGTGGCTTC